AAAAAAAATTGCTGAGATTCAAAACTGCATATAAAAATTTATAAGTTATTTGCTTCGGAGACGAAGGAAAATCACGGTTAATGTTATCATTGCCATTATTTTCAAAATTTTAAGAACGCGGTTGCAGTTTTGGTATATAAATGGCATTTAATAACTAAAACATTAACACTTCCGTCTAAACATCTTTCAACGGCATTCCAGCTATCAGACAATGTGTTTACCTACAGTGTAAAGTCGCGTGTTTAAACATACATGATATACATAGAGATATAAATCCGTACTAATTGTCGACTGTTTGTGGGTGTTTTGCCGTTTCAAGTTTAACATTTAAAAAACACAGGAAAAGTCTCAGTGCCTCTTATTAGTCAGTGGTTCTATTTTCAGTATTTTTATGTCTCAAAGTTTAATGTACAGTATATTACGCAACGTGACTTAAGGATTTTGTCATAAGGTTAATTTAAGGTGGAGGAATCCGAATAACCGTTGCCGGTGAGGGATGTACGACCACAAAGACCATTAATATACACTGGTGTCACGTCCTCAGATTGTCATTTTGATCAGACAGTCAAACTAAATTTTGATTGTATATTTCATGTGCTCTCTGAGGCTTATAATTCTAATTAAAATGCTTTTCGATCTCCATCTTAATCGATCATAGATAAACTAAAATAGCAGAACGTTCAAGTTGTACCACACCGCGATTTAAATCTGAAATGTGACCTATTAACGTTGACATGGGCTATTTAAAGATGTTGTAGGCTATTTTGATGCAGATAATGGCTATAATTGCACTACTTTGTCGACATTCAAATGTTTTGTGACTAACAAATGTTGAATATTGTCAACCGTAAGGAAGGGCTATTATTCGTGGCATGTTTTTTTCAGTTTCTTCAATTTATGGCGAAAGGTCTGTACTAAAGATTAGGAGCTACAGACAGGCTTTAAATTTCCAAGCAATTCCTTGAAAAGTTTAAGGAAGCGCTCATTTTAAAAAAATATTTTATGATCTTTTAGGGCAATAAAGGCCTTCATAATACGTTGTGAAAGGAAATATAAACAGTCTTGGTCCAGAGCTGTAACACTGTGTATAACTTCACCATACTCTACATGTAGTTTACCTAGAAACAAAGCGTTTTCTTCCCGTTCCTATTTAGTGCTGACGTGTTTGTCTAAGTTATTTACGGTATCTTTTGATCCTATTTTTTTCATTGTATTTTATAAATTTAAAGGGATAATAACTCTTCGTTTGAGATCTATATTTCACAATAAAAATATTGTTAACAACTCATAGAAATATAATATATTCTGTTTTACCACAAAAACGGCAGTTATAGATATTATTCTGATACCTGAGCCTGTCTTTAGACCACGTGACCTCCATTGATGGCTATACTCTATTAAAATCTCTTAAGAGATTTTAACAAAAAACCAAACTTTTTAGAAAAAAACCAGGGACTTACTTTGAATGTAAAAATTGATTCATTAACCATTGGTAAGTATGGGAAAATTGTTCTTTACTCCAGGAAAATTCATTTTTTGACCAAAACGAAGAGTTATTATCCCTTTAATTATTCAACGTCAGGCACTAGCTCAATCCTTTTAAAAGTAAACAGCTTAAATCTATATGCTACAACGTCATATTTGAGAAGTTTCACAATTTCCAGCTTGCAACTGTTATCAGCATCACGAAAATTGACTTTTGACGTTGACGTTGTCTCTTTGACGTTGATAACATTTTCCATTCTTGCATTATGTGGAACAGAATGCTCGAACAAATGTATTCCTAACAAAATTATACTTACACTTGCGAACAACTTCCCGGCTTTCATTCAATTGATTTAAATTCATTCTGATCACTTGCGAAGAATGAAATCTGATCATTTTTCTTAACAATGCAAAATTATTATTATTATTATTATTATTGATTTTATTTATTCATTTATTTATTTTATTTTATTTTATTTTATTTTATTTTATTATTTATTTATTTATTTATTTATTTATTTATTTATTTTTTGGAGGGGGGGGGGGGGGGGCGCAGGAGTAATGCTTGTCTCCGTAATAGTTATTTCTTCTACGCGGAATAAATCAAAGGTGGGTATTCCAGTATGTTCATTAACTTTAACATTTTGGGTCGGTAGATTTTAAACATTGCAAAGCCAACAATACATGATTTTTATTGGCCCGTGGTTCATTTTTTTCACCATTTTCAATATTATGTCGCATATGTCTGTGTAAAATTATATTACTGTTGCATTTAAGTAATTTGTTACATTTACAGTAATTCAGCGGATCTCTTTCATCTAGAAAATATGGTGCAAAAGATGATGAAATGATTTTCATTTAGGAAACTGTGGGTGCTTCCTTGTATGACACTGATGATGGGTTTTTATTTTCAGCTTATATGTGCATGGACGAGGAGGTAAACATAAAATTGACAAATAAATGCACTACCGCAATTACTCTATATATTTAAACAGAATTATTATTGGTCATCTATGGTTTGATGTTAGTTATAGAAAAGTTGGTATTAAATATTTGAAGGGAAATTGGGTTGGGTTGTGAACGTTTGGCACTGCGATTAGCAAAAAATCATTAATCTCGAACTTTCAAGTATTATGTAGAATCTGCATTCGGAATTTGTTGTCATTTACCTTAAGTCATTTATCTAACCGTCTGAATCCTTCAATGTCTATACGGTTCCACAGCACCCTAATAAAGGACAATCAAAACCAAATAACTCCCCCGAGTGTTTTACATATGCCAAGGCTCGTCCTTACATCTAGATGCATTTTTTTTTGTCTTGCTTGAAATCTCCGACTGACAGATTGACAGATCCGGAATTTAAGACAAGTTGTAATTAAAAGAATGAGGAAAAATATGACATGAATAGGTGTTACGGGGTACGGGTGGCCACCTCGCCCCTCGCGGTTACACATAGTTCACATACCTATCTCTGAGGATGTTTCTTAGTTACATGTACCAGATATCGTTTTATTTCAATGAACATACCTTAACCTTGGATACGATTCGATGATGTTAGGAATTGGGGGGGGGGGGGGGTTGTTTTAAGCAAAAATATGCCCTGGCGCGCCTCTTACTGAAGTTAGAATGCACGCATTTGGGAAATACCCATGGTTCTTTTTGTAAGTCTGGGTACATGACACTTCCTTCTATGTACTGTATAGGGTTATATATTTTTTCTTGGTTTATACGCATATTTTCTTTCATTTTATAGCAAAGAGGTGTGTGTGTGTGTGTGTGTGTGTGTGTGTGAGTGATTGAGGGGAGTGGGGTGAAGTCCTTCGCCTCTCTAGGTTTCTGTAAATTATTTTTTATAAACGGTGCTTGTTTCACAAAAAAGTAGTTTGTTGGATATTTAGATACTGATGCCGCCTTTCTTTGTCCTGTTTCTTCTTTTAGAAACCTATGTTCGAAGAACAATGGCAACATGTGTTGAGCATTTTATTCAAAGTTGAGAAAAATATATGATGCTTTACAATGAGTTATTGCGAGTGGTTTGTATGAAAGCAGTTACTTCCTTCATCAATTTAAATGAACGGCAATTTATTGTAACTTATTTCTTATCTTAATGGTCACAACAAATATTTAGATATTTTCCAAATTTCCGAGTAATCAAAACGCAGTTAACTGCCATGTGAGGTTGATTAAAAGCGGACATTGTACAACGTTTATCTATGCATGAAAGGTCTTTTAATATATATTTAAATATTTAAAATATTGCAAAATGGGAGCATAATTAAGGTAATTTTGTGAGAGAGTATTTGTTACCGAAAAATATAGGTGCGTACATAAAATTAAAACCAGTTTCATGAGCAAGATACAAATACCACACATTGAAGAATGCATCAATTACGCACAAGAATTATTCAAAATGAGATTTGTTTGGGAATATCAAAAAGCCAACATAGTTAATCCTGAAAGGAAGTCAATAGATGTAAATAAACATCAACTTTGAACATTATTTAGGGTGTCCAGGAAGAGAGGCAGTGAGGAAGGGGGGGGGGGAGGGTAAAAGTGGGTTGGTATTTTAGATAAATTTATCTCGCACTTGTTTTACAGAGACGAGTTTTAATTGGGTATTCCGCATGCCTGAGGCGATAGAAGTCACAGTTCCATTATAAATGGAATGAGCGCTGCTCTTGTATCCAACTATATTGACCCTCCTTTTGAAATGAAAACAGAAAAAGAATATACAGGGAGTCATTAAAATGGTTAGTTAACCTTTAATTACCATATGAAGCACACCTTTCCTCTCTACAATAAGCTTCCTCCTCCTTCCCCCTCTCTCTCCCCCATCTCGTGGTATATAATTGTGTTCCGGGGTGTGCACGTTCACCTCACCGGGATCTTGCTTCATTTTGATATTAAAACCATCTGGTTAAGTCCTTAGCTATGCCCCCTCAGAAGATTTACGGCGAGGCTACCGCAGCTATTAAAAACCTACATTATGACTTGTGGCACGTGGTAAACGGAAGACATAAAATGTGACTTAGTCATAGTTCGCGGCCACCCCCGTCGTAATTTACTGTATATAAGACCACGCTTCATCCAATACCGGTCATCGGGGCTCTTTCTTCACTGAAGAACACGGAAAGTTTAGGAGCTTATTCAGGGGAGCACTATAAAGAAAGAAGATAATTAAAAAAGTATTCGATTTTAAAAGACATACTACACAACGATCATGTTTCTGACATTAGCTATTCTTCTCACAGCTCTGCAAAGCGCTTTGACAGTACCCGGTAAGTAGTGGGATTTAAATATTTTTATTGAGTTTTAAAGTTGTGTGTAAAATTTTATGAAGCTAAAATGTGTTTATTTTGGAGAGAGGGAAATCATAACATTCACACTGACAAGGAAAATGATAAATTCATAATTATAATAATGAATGAATAAGTAATGATAAGAAAATATATAATATATAACATAATGAAAATCGATTGTTGCCTTCAGTTTATTACCTGACCTGTAATTATTTTTTACTATATCTATTCTCTGACTTAATTTAACTGCTTCAATTTCAGTTCGTCAATGCGACAGAAGCGGTAGACTGGGTCAGTTCATACCCGACGACATGAACCCCTGCGTATACTACAGGTGCGAGTACCTGGGCACGCCCTACCAGAGGATGAGCGGCAAGATGTACTGCGAACAGCCCTACGTCGTCCCGCGGTCCTTTGGTGCCACCAGACGGTTCCCAAGCCACAGTAACCCTTGCGTACTCTACAACCCAACACTGGCGTCGAGATGTATACGAGGGGTACAGGCGTGGAGTAGGTGGAGTAACTGGGGGCAGTGCACGAGGGACTGTGGGGTCGGTACCCAGAGGCGCACACGGGTGTGTCTGGGAGGACAGAGCTGTCCGGGACTCCTGGTGGAGAGCCGTTTGTGTAATATGCATCCATGTAAGTTGATTCACGTGTTTAGCCTTTTTTAGTTAGGTTCGTGTTCGGATAAGGGTGTATGCTTTATATTCATTGTCCACTCAATTCATAGTCACTGACAGACATTTGAGGAACGTATTCATTGGATTGTTGTTGGCATAGCAGCAAAAAAAAAAAAAATAAATAAATAAATAGAATAAATAAAAATAAATAAATAAATATAAAAATTAAAAAATATAATAATAATAATAAATAAATAATATAGATAAATATTTTTTTAAGTAGCGGAATAAAAGTCTTTCAAGTGAGACTTTATTTGCTCCAATTTTCCTCTCACGAAATTTGTAACTGCACATGAACCTGTGAATCTTAAATACAGATCCAGATGTATTGTTAGTTCTTATCCCCAACTTATCTAACAACGTACCCAGTTTGCAAGTCCAATCGTTTCTTTTACCTGTCATGTTATCATCTCATGTCTGCTCTATCGAGTTGGAATTATACCATGGCCGTATCATTTAGATTTTATAGGGTCACTATTTCATAACAACTGATATCATATCTCGTGTTACAGGCTTTGGAGAGACGGTTGTTAAGGATTTTGACATCATGCTACAAGAAGACGACCATGCAACGTCATTCGTCACGTCAGACTCGCAAGCGAGTGACGTAGACACAACACTGTCCACAACCACCACACAAAAAGAGACTACAAGAACCTCCGCCACATCCATTGCTGAGTCTACGCAAGCTCCTTCTTTTGCTCCCACCGAAGGCAGTGGTGAAGCGACCGGAAGTGACGACACGTCGACTACCAACAGTGACGTCACACCCACTGACAATCCTACTGTTGTTGGGTCAACCACATCCAGTTTTCAATAACAAACTACCAAATGAAACTGTAAATAAGATATTCAGAACGCTTTTTGTACAGGTTATACACATATCTAAATCAGTATTATACCCTAACTATATCGGTTAAATAATTTATGAAAAATTTAAAAGGGAGAGCCGTATCGGCTTGTCAGTAAGATTCTGTGCTGATATTCACCGGTGAGAAAAAATATGATTTGGATAAATAATCGCAGTTTGAATTGCACAAAGTGTAAGTATTATTTAGCAATTTTTTCTGCACAATCTGTGTTTGAAGAAGAGTGTAAGGTACTCCAGCAGTTTTAGATTTTGTGGTCGTTTTCACAAATGTATTAAGTATAAATAAATTATGAAAGTAATATTGAATTTGCCGTATCGGTGGGTTTTCTGCAGTCTTAACGTATCATTCAGTTTCATGTATATTTCATATAAATATCCATGTAAATAAATTATCTATTAATGTATATGAGATGAATATTGTGGTACAGCAAGGATGAAAGACTGTTTAAGTTAACATTCCTACACTGAAACCAGGGCAAAAATGTAAATAGTCTACTCAAATGTTTTTACTATGTAATAAAATTAAATGTACAGTTTATATATCTTTTTGATAATATCTATCTATCTATCTATCTATTTACATATTCTTCTTTCTTTCTTTTGTATGAAATTAGGGCAAAAGGGCTAAAATTCTTTTATGTTCAATAAAATGATACACACAAATTGATGATTTGGTCAGCAGTAAGTGCGATAGTGGTACCAGCCTCGTTGCGTTTTCTTTTCATTATACAATGCGGTGGGCATTTTCGCACACACACACACACACACACATATAGTTTTAGATCCGTTTACACACAGTTATGTTTTAAGCGCAGATCTTTTATAATTCAGACGTTAATTTCTCAGCCAATTTGCAGCAAAGAGTTGAGATCGATGCTTAAAAAAAGAAAATAAATGCTTCGTTTATCTGAACGAGGTGTTTGAGTTGCAATGTAACTTCAAACTTAATACACATGTACATACCAAATGTACATTAGGTATATTTAAATGCTCTTATCGCCCAGGAACGTGACCTTCAATGTATCCTTCCTGAAGCTCTGCATAAAGGGTTTGGTTATTATTGAGACGGCTAAATTAATGCGCCATTTTGGTCATAATCAGGAAATATACGCAGTCTCCGTAACACTAAGGGTTAATATCAGGACGTGGTACACTGTAAAAACAGTGTTTAGCTCCTAAACACATTTCTAAGCGCCTGTTTTGTCTCACTTTTTCGACGCGTTTAGCTCCTAACATGCTTAGCTCCTTAACATGTTACACGCTTGTGTTTAGCAGTATGACGCGTTTGACGGCTTATAAATATAGGGTGTATTTGTTTAACTTTTGGGTATCAACTGTTTTGGTCGCACACACGCGCGCGCGCGCACGCACACACACACACACACACACACAGACGAACTCACGGTCACCATTAACTGCTATAGTTATCTCTATCTATAACAGTGCACCGTGAACTGTCAACATCGTTGACTTCCCAATATCATCTTTACAGCTGGACTTATTCATCCTTGTGTTAGCTGACCTTGCGAGGAAGTTTATTGGAATGTATTTCTGAAAAGCAGGTTAGGAAAATTCACTAGTTCACTAAAGGCACGAAACAACTATCATTTTTACTTTAAAACACCTTTCTCCATATTTTGATAAAATGCATTACGGTATTGATATCTATTTATTTTTTCCGGAAGTAATGAACAATAGAACATCAGGATGATGGTGGGGTATCTTTATAAAACTTTAAGCTTTCATCACATGCTGGTTATTTCGGTACCGGTAGTCCGAATATTCTACAATTTGCACCTCTCTAGTCGCCGACTAACCCCAAGCCCATTTTGGAATTAACCGCTAACTGGAGTTCAAACAGCATAAGACGTGTTTTGGTTATTTATATAAAAAAATGTTTTCAAAACATTATATAATGTTTTTCCAGAANGTTAACAATAAATAATATGTCTAATAATCTTATATCCGAGGGTTTTATCTTCATTTTCTACATATATAAGATGATATGATAAGATGGCATGTCTACCGATTTGTGCAATATTCATAGTCAACAATGTACAGCGGCACTCACGGTACTAGATATGCCGATTTAAATTTTAAACATCCGAAAGACTTCGCTACACGTCTCATTCCTACTGAGATAAAAATTGATTGTGTTAGCTGCGACAAGGTTCCACAACTGTCCTTTCCATTCATGTTATGTTCACCATCACATTTTGATCTGTTTTGTTTGGTTTCTGCACGGGATATTGCACTCAGTTTCTGTCCCTTTGCATTTTTTGGTTTTTCAGTATTTTTTTCAATTAAGTCAAATTTATTTTACCGGCGACACACTTTAGCAGGTCTATTAGTCGTGGACCTAACCTTTCTTCTGACTTTGTGAAAATGAGCACAATGCTTTACAAGGGCTACATGTAGATCGTATTGTTTGCAATTGTAGCAAAGAAAAGTTATAACGGGATTTTATGTTTCTGGAGGACAAAAAAATCTGCACGTCAGTGGTGTAAGGAAAAAACGCGGAAGTGAAACGGGGTAAATTTATTGGAAGTGGGCCACTGAACTTTGCAACGGAATGTAATGCAATGGTTGGTAATAATTGACTTTTATGCGTGTCTTTATTGTCTTAACTACACTACTTCACACAAGTGACTCTGACCTCTTTATCTTGAGATAAAAAGCGATCCAAGTTGCGGAACAGAGGGAAATATTATGTTATAGTTGGCATACGTAGCTATTGTAACGCTCTAGGTTTGACGTTGATTTAACTGTTTACTTGTAAACCATATTGTATTTGTAGTAGAAAAGCTAGAGACTATCTGGAAAAGAGGGAAAAGGTAAGATGTAATATTCGTTATTTCATCAAATTCAGAAAATACCATACAAGTTTCTTCCAGCGATCTTATAACCGTTATCTTAAGGTTTCTATGCATAATTATATTTCTGTTTACGTCTGTACTGGCTATATGAAATCAGCAGTTATCATATCACATGGGGTGCTCTGTACACTTACGGAATTTATTTATTCGCCTGATTTTATTCCACAGCTATTTGCATTTAACATTGTAAAGATACATCCTCCAGTCGTTTAACATGAACATAACATAACATAACATAATTTTGATCTGTACTTGTATATTATTACACTTAAAGACGACGTGTCTTACTTGCAGTAGAGCGGTCGAACTCTCCGCGAGGTTGAAGGACGTCCTCCACTATTAACGTGTTATTCCTGTAACAGATAAAACAAAAACTCTTCTCGCATTTATTTTACGCTTTCGGCCTTTTTTTCACGAATTTTTCGCGGTGTTTATACATCACCGTATGAAATGCACTATTCATCTAATGCCAGTTAATTTAAAAGATAGGACAAACAGAATTGATAAGATAAGCGGTCGAACTCTCTACGAGGTAGACACCACGACGTCCACTATAAAGGTGTAATCCCAGTAACAGATGAAATAATTCTTCTCTCATTTGGCCTGACAAAATTGAAAAGTTGATTTATGTGCCGTGCCGACCTTAAGGTACTGGCGCATTTTTTTTCAAGAAAAAAAGGCACATCGGGTATTGGTTTGGTAAGTGGCAGATATTCACAACTGACCCCATGAACTAAATGTGTTGTTTATCTGCTCTAAAATCGCCCTCATTGTGCCCAGTGGCGGGGTTTAGAGTGGGGGGAGGGGGGGGGGGGGGGGGGCGGGGGCTGCCCACCCCCTTCGCTTTCTGAAAAAAGTCACACCTCTAATATCCCCCTCTTGGAATTATAACTTGACTAGCTGATTTATAGTACTAAACTGTATTAAATGCTACCGTTCACCCTCTAAAACATTAAAACTCTTGGGACCCTTCCTCGGGCCCCGAACCCCACGCCAACTGGGGGAGGGGGTGTTGGCTTGGCATCCGCCGAACCCCCCTTCAAATAATCCTGGATCCGCCCCTGATGGTGCCTTCACATTCCCTCCACCTAAGAAAAATACCGACCTTCTAGCTATAGTACCTGCTATGCTCGTTATACACTATGTGTGTTATCAATTTTGTCTGACCCTAATGTAGTGTTTTATTAACTGAAAGACACAGACAAGGAAGTGACTGCGATCAGAGCAGTAATCGAGCCCTGCTGCAATACCTCTTTAATTAAATCAATAGAAACCTTGAGCAAATTTAAGTGTTGACCGAGAGAAAATATTTAATTTGGGTTTATGGTTGAATGAGTTATTTATGAATCTGTGAACATTATAATTATTTTCTTCGTCTGAAAATTAAAATTAAGACAATAATAAATTAAAACGTGCGCATTAGCACAACTACCCAGATCTTGAAATAGAAATAACCAATGAAATAAAACGAAAATTTTGGGAAGAAATCCATAGAAATACCAACAACAAACTCCGCACCTACACTGTAAAAACAGTGTTTAGCTCCTAAACACATTTCTAAGCGCCTGTTTTGTCTCACTTTTTCGACTCGTTTAGCTCCTAACATGCGTAGCTCCTTAACATGTTACACGCTTGTGTTTAGCAGTATGACGCGTTTGACGGCTTATAAATGTAGGGTGTATTTGTTTAACTTTTAGGTGCTAAGGGTTTCAACTGTTTTAGTCGAACACACGCGAGCGCACGCGCGCGCGCACACACACACACACAGACGAACTCACGGTCACCTTTATCTGCCAAAGTTATCTCTTTCTATAACAGGGTACCGTGAACTGTCAACATCGTTGACTTCCCACTATCATATTTACAGCTGGACTTATTCATCCTTGTGTTAGCTGACCTTGCGAGGAATTTTATTGGAATGTATTTCTGAAAAGCAGGTTAGGAAAATTCACTATTTTATAAAGGCACGAAACAACTATCATTTTTACTTTAAAACCCCTTTCTCCATATTTTGATAAAATGCGTTACGGTATTGATATCTATTTATTTTTTCCGGAAGTAATGAACAATAGAACATCAGGATGACTATACTACCTTATTTAAGCTTTCATCACATGCTGGTTATTTCGGTACCGATAGTCCGAATATTGTACAATTCGCACCGCTCTAGTCGCCGACTAACCCCAAGCCCATTTTGGAATTAACCACTAACTGTAGTTCAAACAGCATAAGACGTGTTTTGGTTATTTATATAAAAAACTGTTTTCAAAACATTATAAAATGTTTTTCCAGAATGTTATAAACACGCTGATAAAACTCCACAAAATGACGTTACATGTATCATAAAATTTTGTAGAAACGGTCTTCGAATCTTTTTGCAAATTATAACGTTACTGTACATCATTTTGCATGGAGTTAAAACACCCATAACGTTACCATAATGTTCTTCTATATCATTGCCAGCATGTAACCATCTGATAACGTCGTGAAAACGTTATTTGTTATTTGGATTATTACTTAAAGGTACATATGAACCGAGCATCGGTGGAGCGTGGGCTGTCAGTTACACATATAAACCACTTCTACAAGATTCTTAGACGACTCAAGTAAAGTCGACATGCCAAGGGACAAACTGAATAAATCACTCGATCAGCCATAAAAGAGCTTTAGACGGTTCTTAAAATTTTTGGTCAGAAATTTAACCTACTTATGTGACCTACTTTTCTGCCCCATGTATATACAGGATAGTAAGCTAACAGAAAAATCCATTCAAATATCATTTTTCGGGTAATATTAATCAATGCCTTCTGGCAATTTTCTTAATTATATTTTTTGAAACTATATACTGGTATTTGGTTGGTTTTTGAGCAAAAAATTGACTTTGTATGCATCTTAAATAGGCCTATTATAAATAAGCACGCGTTACTGCAAGGAAGGACACCAAGCGTTAGAGCAGACTGCTCCACGCCTTCAACAGCTCCACACGTTTACGAGGGGAAGTGTTAAGCCAAATTGTTGAGCCTGGTAATAAACTTATGGGACTGGTGAAACTAATCACATAGCTAAAAGTGCGACACTGTTAAACATTTTTATTTCTTCTGAAAGAAGCTTGAAAAGCTAAACTTGTTGTTCAGCTACCCTCTACCAGGGCGACAGATTGATTTTTCACAGATATTCACAGATATGTCTCTAGATAAATAGATAGTCATTTTGGTCTGATGTCGACTCAGCAAAAAATGTCCCCAAGAACTGCGGTCTTCGTATAGGGTATTGTCCAGCAGCTCCACGCGTTTAGGAATTCCACACCTATAGCAGCTCCATATGTTAAGCAGCCTCACGCGCTTAGCAGGGGAAGTGCTTAGCCAATGTGCTTAGCTTGTGATAGACTTATTATAGATCCATATACCGGTGAAGCTAAGCACATAGCTAAACGTGTAACACTGCCAACGTGTCTAGAATTTTCTTCTGTGAAACGCTTGAAAAGCTAGACGTGCTTATCTTTTACACATATTTCTAAATGCGTATAGGTGCTTAACGTATGTTGTATGTATTTAAATGCTAAGCACTGTTTTTACAGTGTACAGCAAAATTAAGAATTCCTATGAAGCTGAGCCATATTTGGCATTAAAAGTCCGTTTTACATATAAAAAAATTCTAGCCAAAATGAGGGTCAGTGTCCACGAGTTAGAGATTGAAAGAGGCAGATATACCCACCCCAAAACAAAAATTGAGGACAGAAAGTGTCCTCACTGTAATGCAGTGGAAGATGAAGCTCACTTTTTTCTTGAGTGTACTACTTATAAACTAGACAGAGAAACATTATTTGCTGCCTTACCAGAGGTAAATGTGCAGGGTCTAACAGACGATACACTATCCGCCCTATTAAATGTGTCAAATGAGAGAGGTGTGTCCGCACTTTAAAGTTTATAAACAGTGCTATGAGAAAACGGAAGCTATCCAAATCGAGATAACACCTGGTATTATACTTTTGTAAGTTTATTATTACTACATGTATTTAAACTTAAGTATATTATAATTAGTAGTGTAGAGAGCCTATAAATGTACACTCATTTCATGTGCTCAATAAATTATTATTATTATTTTTATTATTATTAGAACACACTTGACTTAACGGTGTATCTTATGTAAAAAATCAACTGATTTAAGAAATTTGCTGAAATTTCTGGGGGGCTGGAGATTAGAAAACGCTGGAAATTAGTTACATGTAAATATACCTGCTTGTTTATGTTATTCTTATCTCACGACATGACTTTATTAACATAGCAATGATTAAAACCTACGGCGCTGAGAAATTTCAGAAGGCATCAGCTTACAGTAGACATTTCTGATTTTCAGAAAAAAAAATGGTCATAAGCGGGGGCGTCATAGCAGGGATAGTAGTTGCCGTACTGGTGGTGATTGGTCTCATGGTGGCATCTTTTCTCTGCGGTCGTTACCAGCTTTGGCGCAAACTGCCATGTCTTCGTAAGAGACGCGATGTTGATGGTGAACATAATGACGGCTTCGATCCAGAAAGTGGGACGAAAATGGAAGTAACTCCACCAATGGCTTATGAAGAGGACCGCAATCCCACTCAGTCGATGTACTTGGATTTGCAGGGCACTTTGCCGCCGCCATCGCCCCTACCACGGTCCAGCAAGAACCTCCAACCGCAGCCAAAGACGGAGGATCAAGATGATGGAGATATATACGAAAACGCGTCAGATTCACTCCCCAGGAGCAAAGAGGGGGCGGATATCCTGCCAGACACCAGTGGCGACCCTCGGAAAAGTGGTGCAACAGAATCTGGCGGGACCACCTCCCAAAGCGGAAACCCTGGCGACGAAAATCATGAAACTCAAGAAGAGGATGGTGACATTTATTCCGACGACCCAAGCAACAGGCCTCTCAGCGTCAGTGATGCTGAAGGTGATGTTGCACAAGAAGGCGCTGATGATATTTACGACATCCCTAAAAGCACAGCAATGGAGACACCAGGAACTAAAGAGTCTAAAGAAACAGTACATGATGACGCAATCAACGTTGACGGCCATGTGATCTCCGGTAAAGGGAACGAAGCGCAGTCGAATGGGAAGGACGAAAGCCGACAGCCGACAACCGTGGTCGACCCCGAGGATGTCCTCGACATTGCTTGCGCTGAAAAGGAAGAACCCTACCCTGGAAACCTCGAACAGGAGGGAGAAGACGAGCAAAATACGGGCAGCGACACCTATGCTCCAGCGGTTATTGCTCATCCAGCGCCGCCTATTGGTGAACGGGACAGTAAAATTAGTGGCTCGTCTGCCCATAAAAATGGGGAAAACTCCGTGGTGAGGGAAATTCAAGGAGAATCAGATGACTTTTATGAAGACATGACGTTGTCAACGAAAATATGAAAGAAAAACAATTTGCAATTATGATTGTTTGCTCTAAGAATCGCTGGGTGGAGATTGTAAAATACTAATATATTGCCACGAATATCATTTTATATATTTTAGTACGATGCAGTGTATGTGTTTGTTTTCTGCTCGATTGATGAACAATCTTGTTTGCATGTAATATCTTATTATTTAGTTAAATATTGTCTAATCTTTCATGACTCAAGATTCAAACGAAACTCCACCAAGGTTTTTGTTGGAGGAGCTTTCGTGGATCAAGCAACTGATTGAAGCTGGTATTATAATTTTTTTTTTTATTTTTTTTTTCAAGACTTTGACATTATTAGGAGGTAGCAGCTAGGTTTAGCCTCACAGTTACATTGCTTGTATAATGATATGAGGAAAGAGGTGTGAATTACACATATCTAATTCATATATAAAATATATGACTATAACTTATCATTTGTTTTTGCTATTTTGTTAAGTTTTAAGCGCAGATTGAAAAAGTTTATCTCAATTTGAGAAATTTGAAATATAACCTAGAGAGAAAGAATAAAGCATTTTTTTATAGAAAGCACATCAGTGGAATTTTAATGCAGCGTCTTAATGTCGTAACAGGGATAAATTAGGTAAATTATTTTCAAGATTTATCAATTTCCTTGAGTTAATGTTGACGAGTCAGAATGTATACAGCTAACAATGATCTCAATCTTTTGATAACTTCAACAGTTGATTGAGTGGTCCAAGATGCTATAGCATTATCTATTCCTTATTGTTATATTCGATAATCATTGCCTCATTATCTTAAAAGTGTGCTTACTTTACGTGATGATGATAGAAGGTACTCCAGTTGTCAATTATATTTACGTATTATTCGTCATGTTCGTCTTCTTCAACGGGTTAATCAGTGCACATAAATCTAATACCTAGTTTAAGGGACACTTTGGAAAGAATGAATGCAAATTTATGTGAGGTAGCCTAAGCACTGTCTGTTGGTTCACTTTATCAATACCACTGGCGTTAATCAGTATTTATTAAGTATCATACAAGTGCCGCGTACAGATTATGAAGGGGTCGCGATTATCCTGCTAAAAAAACACGTAGCCTGAATTGATTATTTAACATTGAACGCAGCCGAATATTTTGGAGGTCGAGTTATATTTTTCTCACAAGCTCCTACTCACTGGAACTTCAACTCGATACAACATTTGAAGAAAGGATTATTTTGAAAAGAATGTGAATAACGATTAATTCAGGTCTCTTATGAGACTATAGTGACATATTACGGAAGGCGATGTGACACAAGACACGTATGATATGTACATGTACCGGTAGTTACTATACACGTACAATAGAGGGTCATATGGGGGGGGGGGGGGTAGTAATCACGGTTTACGGGAAACAAAATCATTAAATCATAAATCACAATATATATATATATACTCTGATTTATGATTTAATGATTTTGTTTCCCGTAAACCGTGATTACTACCCCCCCCCCCCATATGACCCTCTATTGTACGTGTATAGTAACTACCGGTACATGTAATGATATATATATCACTGACAATGCAAGTCCGGCGAGTTAAAATCACGAATCACCGAGTATAATGACTTCAATGCACGGTGGACGAGGAATAAAAGCTGCATTCACGAGTCATGGGAATGGTTTGCTTCACGGATCACGTTTTATAATATGATTTTTTTTACTTTCACGAGTAATGAAACTATACATTGGGACCCTGGCACTAACTGCAGTTACATGTACCGGTTAAGAGTTCAGACGGGAGATATTTATAACTAGTTACAATCTAACTAGCCTGATAGGGATATCAGAGGAAATAGAGGCTGCGAGGTACACGGTAGCCCTACCTAGCAGACGAATATTGGTCAACAGTGAACTTTAACAAAATGTGTGGCCCGTGCCTTGGATTCAATGGAAATTAGAAGATATGATAAAATCAAAAGGGATTTAACGGTATTGGGGGAGAGGTGGCTCATAAATAAGGACAGACTAGCCCAGCAGGCAAACGACATTGATTCTACGTTGATTCAACGTTGATCCACCAAAATTAACGTTGATTCAACGGTGAATCAATGTAGTTTGTCTGCTGGGAGGAAATGCTCAGTGGCAGCGAGTAAAAACCAACAAAATTAACCTACATAGGTATATTTCATCAGCTCTTTTTAATTGCGGTCTATTGAATAACTGTAAATACACCATGATTTGCGTGTCACCGGTGTTTAGCAAAACACCATCGAGTTGCGCATAGAGTTTCACCTAGCAACTAGTTAGTCTGCATATAGAACATCGGACTAGCTAGTCCACGGATCAAATATGATCGACCTACTTGAATGCGTGTTGCATTATCCCTGCGGGGAATCTATTCAGTGTCTAAAAGGGTATTAGACGACAAGCTTTTAAATGGGTGACCGTTTTTTGGTCCGCGGTTCTGATGGCAGCCCTAGATTGTATTCACAACCAGGTGATTCGCGAACTAACTTGTCCGAGGATCAAATATGCTGCACACTGGAAAGCCAGTCGTATAATCCCCTAACAATAATGTAATGGATACTCCGCCTCCCACACGCGCTGTCTGAACAGTAGAGGAACTATTGAACCTCGAATTGCTTTCAATTGGGCCGCGCCATATTTGATCAACGGACTAGTTAACTCGCGGATCAAGTGGTTGTGAATGCTCTCTTAGAAAAGATGGAAGTTTGACTGAACGCTTCAACTTCAAACTAAATGACCCATAATAATAAAATGAATTTTCAAATGCAAACAAAACGATTAACGAATACACTAAAAAAAAAAGAAAAAAATTGCCATACACTTGGCAATATACCAACTAACTTATCATTTACTATTTATCAGTATTTATAACATTGAGTGCCGTAGAAAGATAAACAAGGGCCGGTCCTCAATGATTTCTTCTTAAAAAAGATTATTATTATCACGCAAGCGTCTCAAGCTTATGAAGACAAAGCATTTAAGTTGTGTGACACATTTAAGTTAGAAATATTAACAACACAAGTGTGTACAGTGTATGCTACGCGTGATAATGAATTATTGAGAAACAATGTAAGAAGAAGGTTGTAATTAAAGATATGAATTTGCGTAGTTGGATGGCTGACAATCTGTTTCATGTATCAATTATTAACCACAAACAAACAAATATACGACTACACACATGTACCTGAGCAAAAAGCAGTTACAAAGTACAAAACACAAGTTACCAAGTGAAATAATATTATCTGACTTGATAAATGAAGATATACGGTAAACGTGTGTAATCTAGTGTACATAGTTCACTTATCTAGCTAACAACCGACGAACTCGGCTATCATATGCAGAGGCTTGTGGAATACGTGACAGAAGGCAACACACGTACAGTTGCTTCTATATACTGATGTCCTGATCTTAACGGCTCGGTAAGTAGTAGGCCTATAGGTGTATTTTTCTTTCATAAGCTGAATATATTACTTATTTATCTCAATTAAAAGAGCAACAGATTTTTGGTAAAACAAGCGATTGCTGGGTGTCATTTTGTTTCACTTTCAAATAGGTTCACTTATCAGTGTACAGAGGTTCACTTATCAGTGTACAGAAAGTAATGAAGAACAATGGCGGGCAAAGACATAACTGCTATCTTTGCAAAGGCAGTTCTTCAGCACAACCACTGCAATTGAACTGGCAATCAAAAGTTCTAGGGCATATATATGTTTGAAACTATGTCAGACATACGTTCTTACCTTTTCTTATTGTAGTATTATCATTTGTATTACAGCCATCATTATTAACAATTCTACCAGTAGTATTACTACATAAACTACACTGTTCAAATACATATATTACTCTCTGTGTTTGATGGCATGCTAGTTAGTAGCTTTCAACATTGTTGTCCTTGCCCGTCTCTTTTTCTGGTAGGTGTTGAATACAGTGTTTAAGATTACCCTAAATCTGAAATGTTGTTTATAGAAACCAGCTAATATCTATACTTATTTGTGTGGATATTTTGATTTTTCTATTTCTTACTTTCAGGTCAAAATGGTTCCCGGATGTCTCCTTCTTTTCTGTGCAAGTCTACTTGTCGCAGTACCCTCAATATGCCAAGGAGCATGTTCCATCAATCCTTACTGCTCAGACTGTGCCAATTATACTGAAGAAGGACAGACAAAATGGAGATTCTACTGCAACCCTTACAGTGGATCCTATATAGATTCTTCACATTTTACGGCTATCAACGATACGGTTGATTTTTTTCAAGTCAAATATTTTTCATCGAGTTCTAGACTTGACATCAACAGTGGCGCTTTCCGAAATATCCCTTATATCGCATTTGCAGACATAAGGAACACACGAAGCACCAATCCTTATATAAGTTCAAGTGCTTTCTATTACGGTGTGCAGAACAGCCTGCAAACTTTGTTGTTTCGGAGCTCCTACATTACCGCCGTCCCCTCAGCCATAAGGTATCTAACGGCTTTACAAGAGCTGGACCTTGGAAACAATAGAATAACTGGTGACCCATATAACTATCTAAGTTACCTGACATCACTCCAGACGCTGTGGCTTGACAACAACCGCCTATATAGTAGTATCCCAGCATCCTTGGAGCATCTACCTCATTTCCGGAAATTGTCACTCGCAAGCTGCTACCTAAACCGGAGTTCTGTTACGTCATTCGGCAAGCTTCCCAGATCATTAGAATGGCTGAACCTTTATAATAATTTCCAACTTTATGAAGTGCCTTCGGGTGTTGGCTTGCTTCGGAATCTGACCTATTTAAACATGGAACACTGTGGTCTGAACTCTCTGCCGGTCAATGTCTTTGCCAATTTGAACAAGCTGGAGTTCCTAGATCTAAGTGAAAACCCAGGTATTGTTCCCACTCTCGCTGTCCTTGTCCATCAGAAGTCCTTGAAGACTCTTAGACTTTCTTCCTTAGGTTCTTCATTGACAGACATACCTAATGCAATATCAGGAATGGAAAAGCTGGTAGAACTTGTCCTAAGTTACAATGGAATACGAGAAGTAAATCATGATCAATTTGCAAAACTGATACAGTTAAGAAAACTCAACCTGTACCGCAATAAAATAGCTTTTCTTGACCCGCTGTCATTCCAAGTTTGTGACCATCTGGAGGAATTGGACCTAAGCTATAATCTTATACACGAAGTGAGCCCTATCCTCTATGTTCCCCAGTCCCTAAAGGTACTTAAGCTGAACGGAAATAAATTTGACACGCTTGACAAGTGTATAATTGCAAACTTACTGGCATATCTTCAAAAGTCGTACATTTCAAGCGATCTTTTCATTTGCGATTGTCGTTTGGCCTGGGTTCGAAAACTGTCAGAGGCTTTCGGCTCCAGGGTAAGTTTTAGTGGATCGTGTTATCTCCCAATAGAGCTATACGGTCAGTCAGTGACTTCATTTACTCTGTGTGATTGCAGTTGGGAAGACGAAAGTTTTGAAAGTTGCAACACTATCTCAACTACTCCACCAAATACAAAGACGGAACACCCGTCAGAAGTTTTAAATCGCTTCTTCGTCAATTCGGCCCAAATATCCAGTCTCCAAAAGGACCTCAGCAGCGTTCAAACTATCACAATTGTGTCGGTATCTGTTGCCGTTGTCGCCATCGTGGCATTCGTCGCTACTCTTGTCGTTTTGCTGACTTGCTTCTTCAGGCAACGAAACCGAGTGCCTTCAAATGGGAGGAGCCTGGGTCACGTCAATCAAGATCTCCAGCTATCCGAAGGGATCCAGAGTGAAAGGTCACCTGAAGGTAGAAGTTCTGGAGATAATTTGTATCAGAACACGCCTGGAACGTCCAGCAGTGGTACCAATGGGGCCTATGAACCTCTCAGAAAAGATGGGCGGGGTTTGACACAACATAGAGGCCATTACGCCTCCTCCCCTGTAGTTCATAAGTAAAGAGTAGAATATTCCCCTTCTTTGCCTTGTGCTATTGTGTCTCTGTTTTATTAAATATTTGCAGTGCAATTTGTTTTTGCGAGTGAACGAACAGTTACCCAGTTCGTAGTAATTTTCTGATTTATAAAATTTTGAATTAATCAGATCATGTGATAATATGTAGATCGGGATTCATTAGGTTTGTAAATACATATAGAAAGAACCCCATAAATATCTGCTATGTGTCAATATTGTGAGATCATGGATGTGGCAATGCTCACTAGTGTTTAAGTGTAGAACCTGCACTTGCCAACTGCATGCGCACTAGATCTGGGAACAAATAATATCCCAATAGAATGCCAGTGCTTTCTCTGTTATATCCCCAGTCAAATTTTACTGGACATGATTAAATTTGTTACGTCAGTATCAAATCCTTATTTTTATTTATTTATTTTATTTATTTTATTTATTTATTTATTTATTTATTTATTTTTTTTTTTTTTTTTTGCTTAAATCTGTCACAAAGCGTATGTTAATATAACCGCCTATACGTGTACATGTATTATTCAGGGAGTGACCTTCACGTACCTTGAAAGAATGTTCAATAGTCCTATATATAGTCAAAAGTAAACTAAGATATGTCGATGTTGTTTGAAATATTGTCACTGTGTTTTAGTAACAAAAATGACTGCATTTTTATAGTTACGAAAGAGTCCACATTTATTATATATAGAATGTACATGTCAGCGCTTCAGCAAAGGTGAATAAAGGAACGCGGAATAGAGCCGACACTTAAACACTCTGCTAGTGCCTTTCATGGTCTTACTTTGAAATTCCATATGTCATTTAGGAATTCAACATAAAAACCTTGGTGAGAGTATTTTGTTCTCTATGTGCACGGAAAATGTCCCGTTTAGTTGTGAATATAAACGCGAAATATTGTGATTATTTTGGCCTAATGTTGTAAATAGAGTGGAGAGGCTAATTGTGATTATCTTTACCAGCTTGTAGTCTTTCTTGGTTAATTACGATTTGAAATTCAAAAAGGTCAAATAATTTGTGTTCATGTATTCCTTTGATGTATCAGTCGCTCGACATGGAAATGTGTGTCGATTGCATATTATTATTATTATTATTATTATTATAACCATAGAAATAAAACCATGTAGAATAGGTGACAAAGGCGTGTTCTAATAATTCCAATTTTCCCAAACAATTGCAACATAAATTAATGAAATATAAATATTTATGCGTGATGTTGCTTATGACATCCGTATCTGGAAGTACCGGTACCAACTTTGTAAATACCGACGTGGGTATTTAACTTAAAACATTTGGTAAAAGACCATAATTTCAAAATTGGCGTTTAAAAAGAAAAAAGGATTGCACAATTCTACACGTGACTTTATTTCCAAAGTTATAGACTATACTTGTTCCATATCCTTTTTCTGTATATTCACTCGTCCACCATTGGACTGAGAAACCTTCCCCAGAAACCTCGAACAGCCGCCGCCTTTATTAAAGCACGTGCAAATTACGAATCGCGCATCTACAGGATGCTTTACCAGAGCCGCCTATTGGAGATCGGGTCAATGGAATTTGTGGCGTGCCTGCCCGTGAAAACGGTGAGGTGCGAAAAGTCAAGGCGAATCATCAGGATTTTGTGACTTGACGATGTCTTCAAAATATGTAGAAATGAACTATATATCTACAGTTTGCATATAATATCTCGTTATTTTAAGTTTCTATAATCAATTATCAAATGTTACAAAATATATAACTTTATGAACGAGATGTTTACAGAATCAAGCAATTTATATGTACGTATTAATGCTCTGCGCTTGTAGGAAACACTTTCTCACAAAGTTTGACACCACCACGAGGGAGCAGCTTGGGTAAGGAACACTTCATTTTATTTGTATTTGTATGTGTCGATGCAGTAAAAGGGATATGAGTTAACATATCTAAGCCCCATATCTAAAAATAATATTGATTTTATTGTCGAAGGAGAACCTAGAAAAAGTTTATTCATAAAATGTGAGCAGTTAAGAATATTTACTAAACAGATAACAAGTATTTTCAAAGAAAACACATCATGAATTAAAAAAAAGCATCGCCTTGTCTTACTTTCTGTCGTTACTAAGAAATTCAAAGAAAGCCACGAGTGTAGCCTATTAACAAACCGTTCACGGAATGTTCACTTATGAAATATTATTTCAAGATTTACTATCTTCTTCTTTTAACTTGTTGAATTTTACAGAGAATACTAGATAAAACAATACTTTGATAACTTAAACAATAGACTGAGTGATCCGAGATGTACATATATCTATTCCTTATTATTAAATTCGATAACCATTGCCTTATTATTCTAAAAGTGTGCTTAAACTTCGCGTGATGAAAATATCAGTTACTAGAGATATCAATTGCATATAATTTGTCATAACCTCCTCCAATGCCGCATTATCTACGAAACCTTCTCTATTTAGTCGGTTGTACTAGACAAACTTCAAAGGGTTAATCAGTGCACACAAAACTAATTACTAGTTAAAGAGACACTTCGGAAAGGATAAATGCAGATTAATGTGAGGTAACTTAAGCACTGTCTGCTGGTTCACTTTATCAGTAACCAATATATCACTGACATATTTCACAAGCGTTCATCAGTATTTTTAAGCATCATACACCGAGTGCCGCGTACAGATAATGGAGTGGTCACGATTACCATGCTTAAACAACACGTGGCTTGAATTGTTAATTGTTTATCTTTGAACGTCACCAATTTTTCTCACAGGCTCCTACTCACTGGAACTTCAACTCAATGCAAATTTTGAAGAAAGAATCATTTTGAAAAAATGTGAATACGGATTGATTCATAAGAGACTTTAGTGACATTAAAAACGGAAGGCGATGTAACACAGGGCACGTATATTTTACACAAACTTTGAAAAAAGAATCATTTTCAAAACTTGTGAATAACGATTAATTCATAAGAGGCTATAGTGACATTTAACACGGACGGCGATGTGACACACGTCACGCCTCTTGGGAAATAAAAATGACTTCACGAGTAACTAAAATATACAATGAGACCCTGACACTATCTGCAGTTACCGGTAAATGAGTTCAGACGGAGGATATTTATAACTAGTTACAATCTAACTAGCCTGATAGGGATATCAGAGGAAATAGAGGCAGCGAGGTACTGTACACAGTAGCCCTACCTCACAGACATTTATTGGTCAACAGTAAAATTTCACAAAATATGTTTTCTGTGCCTTCGATTCAATGGAAATCAAAGATAGAATAAAATAAAGAGGGATTTCGCGGGATTGACGGGAGAGTTGGTTCATAAATAAGGGCAGACTAGCAACTGCTAAGTGACAACGATTTAAAACAACAAAATTTATGTACATATTTTTTCGGGTTGTTTTATCTTAAGCCCTTTTTAATTGCGGTTTACTGAACGACAGCGTGATTACACCATGACTTGCGTGCCACTGGTGTTTTGCTATATCGAGTTTCACCCTTATCGCTGAAAAGATAATCCCACCTCACGTGTATTTTTGCCTAATTTGCAGTTCATTATGACGTCACTTGGTGCCGAAAGCTTCATTTTAGGATTACTCATTGCAAGTCTATACTTTGCAAAATGCACTATCACTCTGGCTGCATTTTCGTAGCGACTATGAGCAGCAGCTCTCAGTCGTTTGATGATGCAAACATGATCGATTTCCGATCTTAAGTGTTCCTGTCTGAATGCTATTAAAGTGTGACTAAAATTGGGGAACCGCGTCAAGAACACATGACAGTTATTTATATACAGAGGATAATTTTCTCTGTTTTCCCATCCTACAAAGAAAAATCCTCAATTTATTTGAAAATATTTTTATACATGTATTAAGTTTTCACCTGAGGAAAGCCCTGGACCTTTTATTACATCCACCACTTTAATCATTATCGATTTTTTCTATTCCTCAAAACCGTGACACAAAGTCCTTCACATTTTAATTAAAACCTTCCATTGGATATGTTGTGCATCCCTATTCTACTATAAAAATATTTATGATTATGAATGCGGAAGACTAATACCTACAGGTAACGATATTTACCGGTACCAATGCCACCTTCTTAATCTCAAGAAAATCAAATAATCTGATAACACCCAAGCAGTTATAATATATTAGTGTTCTCCTCTGAAGTTGTAGTTACACTAAAATGTGCATAAAAATCATAATATAAATGTGTGTCATTATTTTTAATTTTGAGTCTGCTATATCTACTTCGGAAATCTATCATCCTGGTGGTGAGCATTGAGAACTGCGGACTAACTAGTTCGCGGATCAGACATGATCGACCCACCCACTTTTGAACGCCTGTTGCATAATTCCTGCGTGGAATACATTCAGTGTCTATTAAGGGATTAGACGGCAAGCTTTTAAGTGGGTAGTCATTTTTAATCTGCAGTTCTAAAGGCGGCTTAAGAGTGTATTCACAACCAGTCGATCCGCAGACTAACTAGTCCGAGGATCAAATATGCTGGGCACTTGAATCCCCTAATAATAATGTAATCCATAGGCCTATTCGCCACCCATAAGAGAGGTGGTCTCAATGAACCCGTTTAAAGGAGGCGTATCTTCCTGAAAACAAATTTATTTCTTTTGCGTCATGTAAGTTAGAAGTATCATACATGTAAGTTAGAAGTAATAACAACACATAAATGTTTACTTTACGTGATTATGCGTTATTGAGAAAGAACGTACAAACAAGGTTGTAAAGATAAGAATTGCGAAGTTGGGTGGTTGAAAAACTGTTAACTACGATCAAACAAATATAAGAATACCTGAAGCAAAAAGCAGTTACCAAGCACATTAATAAAATGCCCATATTTGACCTGATAAGTGCAACTATGCAGTAAAAGTGTGTAACAAAGTGTACACGGTTTAGTTATCTAGCAAACAACGGACAGACTCGGTTATCATTGGCAAACGCTTGTGGAATACATGTCAGAAGTCCACACA